AGTTGATGCTGGTAATATTGTCCGCATTATGCTAATTATTTGATGTATCACTAGCAAGTTATCTTCCTGTTCTATTGAGGGGCGTTCTTTTATTTGGGTTTTCATTCTCGTTTTCTGATTGGTTGTCAGATTCATTTGCTTGGCCTTGGGATGGGCATCGCATTGGCTGTTTTGACACCAATTCCCCTTGTCAATTCCCATTCCAACCCTTTGTGGCCACAAAATTTTGCAATGTTTTTGTTGTTTTGCCCAATTGCATGTTGTTTGTGGACATAGTATTAGTAGATGAGACGAGAGGTTGAAAGCTAAGTTAGAAACTTGGAGAAAGACGCTTGAATCTAAGAAGCTAAGTTAGAAACTTGGAGAAAGATGCTTGAATCTAAGGAATTTAAAATAAGTAGGACCAAAACGGAAAATATGAGGTGTAATTTTAGTAATCAAAGGGTAATAATGGGGTAAAGATTAAATTTGGGGAACACAAATTGAGCACATCTTAAAGTTCTAAATTAGAATCTATTTCAGAAGTTAATGACAATATAGATAAGGATGTAAAATATAGAATTCCATTGAGATGGAGTGAAGGAGCGCGTCGTCGATATTTTTTATCGTAAAGTAACAATGAGTTTAAAAGGTAAGTCCTATCGAGCGGCATTCGATCTGCGATACTTTATGGATATAAGTGTTGGGCTACTAAATATAAAACTGATTAAAAAAATGCGAGTGACAGATAGTAGAAGAAAAAATGAGAGAAATCAATATTATGATGGTTTGGGCATGTGAGTATGAGAGACTTCGAGACCTCGGTGAAAAGGGTAGAAACAAAATTAAGAAAATAATAAATCTCTGCAAACTTTCTTTTTTTATTCACAATGTGTTACATCACTCAAAACCTCGTTCTTACTTTTACACCCAAAAATCTAAATAACCATAAACCTTTTTAATGAGTCTCACATGTTTATCACTTAGTGTATTTTAGTATCATACTTTTATATATTGAATAACAATTCACCATAAAACTATTTATTTATCATACAACTAAATATTTTCACTTTAAATTGGCCCTATGGAGGTTTGGTTGAGGTTTGAAAACACAAACCTGGTTTGTAAATGCAAACCTTAAGGGATGCTTGGATATAAATTTGTTTGGTTTTGATTGGATATTTTTGGTTTGGTATGATTAATTTTGGAAAAGAGATATGATTAGTTGTTACTGAAATTTTGAGTTGATATTAAAATAATATTTAAAATACAATAATTAAATGATGTAAAAGTATGAACGCGATGATATGATGTGATGGTTAGTTAAAATATTGTGAGTTGATAAATAAAAAATTAAGGTTAATGTAATATGTAGGAATGACTGATTGATATTATTTAATTATATTGGTAATATTAAGGATAGTTGGGTTGAATTAAAATTTAGCGAGATTTGGGTTAAAATGAGTGATTTATTAAAAATGATTGGATATTTTTCGATAAAGTTGTATACAAACATTCCCTTACCTCTTGCTTCTAATAGAAAATCTTACATATTTGTATTTTCAAACCTCTTCCAAACCTTCTATTAAAGATGACATGAGGATAAGTTTTTTGATCGAGCAGGATTGCGACATGCGATCCATATAACCGACACACTTAGTGAGATTTTAAAAACTTGTTGTTGTTGGTGGTGGTGTTGTTTCTATTACGCAATTTCTCGAGAAGCCAGGTTCCACCACCCCTTTATATATATTAATATATATATATATTATATTGTCGCCAAACCAGGTCACCGACCTGGAACTTTTGAGAATGCACCTTCTTGTCGTGGGCCAACCTCATCTCAATTACATCGATCCTCGGACCGAGGAATTCGACTTTCGTTAGGGAGAGACTGTTTGCTGGTATTAAGACTGAATATCCTCCATGGTTGGAGGGGTCCCATTGAAGGATCCTTGAAGCAGCCTTTCAACGACGTAGTTGCTACATGATAAGCTTAGGTATTACTTTACTGCAAGCTTAGTAAGGAAGTTTCATACTACAAGGCTTCAATTACATCGAGCCCCAGGATCTCTGTTCAACGTCTTGGAAAGTGAGGTGGGTCAACCTGTGAGCGGAAAGAGCAAAAAACCTGACCTCTCCCCCTCCAACTAGCGCTATCTTTGTATGTACGTTTCGGACCCTTCCCGTCGATCGAGCTTTGGAAGAGGCAGGACAAAGATATCCGTTGCTATGACAAGTAGAGGACAAGGTAAGCAGGTTAAGCTCGTAAGCGGATTACCTAGACTCTTCGAACGAGGAACTCTAGGGCAAAAGCTGTCAAAGGTGGCTTGATGGTGCAGTCAACTTTGTGAATGAGAGGGCTGGCGCTGGAATGAATATGCAGGAGGCGAGCACTTCCGAGCAGTCCCAACGTCGCCGACGTACACTCCAGCGAGCAGCTGTTCGCGAGTAGTTCCCGTATGATGTGCTATTAGGATATTTACGGTTACCATGTACATTTAGTTTGATGATGTCCCCGAAATGAGTTCATGAAGGATTATTATGTGATCGAAAAAGACCGCAGTAAAGAGATGCATGATGTGTACGAGGTGAGGACGCCCCAATTAATTGTCGATGACGAGTCCTTGAGGACAAGGACATTCTTAAAGGGGTGGTATGACCAATTTATGAATGTGAACCATGTGGCTTACCGATGTGAGCTGTTACGGCCGTCAATACGCTTGTCGCACTTGAAGCACTTGCCTTTCGGCTTCACCACGCCACCAGAAGGCGCTAACGCTTTGCTCCCACCACTCCCACTGCCAATCTTGAACTGAATGTCTCGTCGATGCTGATCGGCTGAAGATTTCTGTCGACTCTGAGCTGTCTTGAGTCTCTGCCGGATCAACTCGACTTGTTCTGCAGTCGTCTTCAACAACCGCTACCGACGTCTCTATGACCGACCTTGCTCAAACTACTGAAAACCCGACATGGATGGATCCCATCATCAACTATCTTCGTACCGGGGCCGTATATAAAACTGTAAATCAGCACTTACCTGAAGAATTACAAAATCCAGGAGAGAGCAACGTCTATCTTCGGGTTTTAAAGGCCCTTAGTCGAAAAGCCCATGCCTTCGGGCTGGGTGACCTCCTGTTTCGAACATTCCTCGGATTGGGTGGGCAAGTGCGAAGACATGGATATCTTATTTGTTACTTGGATATCTATGTAATTGTCTAGTTGCTAACCCTTTTTTTTTCAAACATCAAATATTATAAATAGAACTCAAAAGGTTAAGTACAGACCGAACTTCTAATTGGAAATTACGAACCCACATCAGTATAAACTGATACAAGACGACAGGGAAAGCTCACCATGAGCCAACCTAAGGGACCGAAATGGCCACAAAAAACTAAAAAAACAGAGGAAAAGGAAACAGAACAAGGAAAAACAAGGAAAATAAAACTATCTAACCACAGTACACCAAGCTCGAGACAGGGAAAAGAGATAAGATGACACCAATATCAGTCACTATGACCTGAGACTTGCATCTTGTGGACTCATCCTTAGAGAGCAATTCGAAGAGAGTCTTCTCATGAAAATGTAAAGTGACCTTTTGCCATCCTTCACTAAGTCCTTCCTCGAGCCAGGTTCTAAGAGCGAGAAGTGTGTCCTCCACTGGTTGCTTGCATAAAGCCCCCCTAGATGAACACCAAGTAGCCACTTCAGTTGAATCCACCAATGTTTTGCTTGTAATTGATGTTGGGGCCTGAACTGCAATACTGGGAGCTTGAAGAGCCTCCCCTATTGCCCGAGAATCAGCCAACATAAGCTTACCATCACCACAACAGATCTCGTTAAACTCCAGCCACTCTGCTTTTGCCCTTTGAACCATCTCAATTTCTGAAATGAGCTCCTTATTGAAGATCCAGGCATTTCTAGTTCTCCACATCCACCAGAGAAGGTAGGTGGAGAGGGATATTCTATCTCTGTTGACAGCAATCTCTTTTAAATTGCAGAGATCATCCCACCATGTGTTCATGGATGCCTGCTGAAGTTGCAAAATAGTCCATTGGAGACCTGCAATTTTCCACACCCTTTGGGCTCTGATGCAACTGAAAAACAAATGATCCAAAGTCTCTATGTCCTCCCCACAGCAGCACCATATTTTATCTTGAAGAACCCCTTTGATCTGCAGATTGCTACCAGTGCCTACCCAGTTGTGTAGGCACTTCCAAACAAAATTCTTGATTTTAGGCTTGATTTTGAATTTCCATAATTTTTGCCATCTCTGCTTCTTTAGATTGGAGCCCATACTGGAACTCGTTTCAGGGATGGAACTGAATCTGTCCTGGTGTATTACCTTGTAAGCATCTTTGACAGTGAAGATCCCCTTTATGTTGGAATTCCAGACAAGCCTATCTTGCATTCTCCATCGGCTAATATGGGTCTTCAGGATACACTCAGCATCAAAAGGAGTGAAGGTTTGAAGAACTAGCTCAGATTCCCAACATCTTTTTACCTGCAAGCATAAGATCAGAGACCCTTTCTAGCCTGGACTCATCATCCACAAAGCAGCGTGCAGGTTTGAAGTTCTTTGAGTTTGGGAGCCAAGGATAGTCCCAAATCTTGATAGATTGTCCATTTTCCACTTGATACCTTAGCCCCAGTAAGAGAGACTTCCTACAATCTAGCCACGACTTCCACATCCATGAGTCAGAGTCTTTCCTAGGGACCTCTAAGAAATGTTGTTTATAGCAATATCTGCCTCTGATCACTCTGCTCATAAGGGAGTTTGGTTTAGTAAGGACTCTCCAAATCTGCTTTAGGAGTACAGCCTCATTCATACACTGGAAGTCCTTAAACCCCAAACCCCCTTCATTTTTTTCTTTAGCTAACTTACTCCAGTGGGTCCAATGTATTCTGTTTCCTCCTTCTTCATTCTTGCCCCCACCAAAAGTCAGCAATGGTCCTACAGATATCACTACACAAGCCAACAGGCAGTTTGAACACATACATAACATATACAAGCATGGAGCTCAACACTGTTTTGAGATCTTCCTGCATCGCTGAGAAAAACATTTTTCCAAATTTTTATCTTATTAGTAACACACTCTTTAACAAAAGAAAAGGTCTGATTTTTTTTTTTTTTTTTTTT